GGCAAGTGGTATTAGAAGTGGCCGTAATAGTCATGGTGGCCCAGCAGCCCGAATCTCTAGTTGCACCAACCAGCCCTTACTCGCCGAACCCTTCGCCAAGCTCTTGAAGCCGCAAAATGTTGCTCGACATATCGGTACTTCAGCCGTGGCCAAGACCCGTTCAACCTCCAGATTCTGTTCTGGTATCAGTCACCATCGCAGAACCGTACGTCTGACTGAAGCGGTCAAAGCGCTAGCACATCGCTGTCTCTTGCTGTTCTTGTGCACAGACGCAAGCCATCGCGAATGAGATATGAATGAAAACCGCAGGTTGTACAAACGCGCGCATAGTTTTTACTGACATGAGCGCCTTACCAGCTTCGCGCAGAAGCTTCTTACCAACTCAGATCGCGAGCTCTTGCGGACAATGTGCCTGCGAAATGCTGACGCACCATGACGCACGCACCAGTTTTTGCAACATCCACCACCTGTGTGTGAACCCTGTTATAAAACTCCTTCAGTCGCGTTTTGGCCGCTACTTCTGTGACAATACCTATCAACGGACCCGAAGCAAAGCTTGCACTGCCAGAAACACCCAGCTGCGGCCTGTCTGCAGAAGAGAACTTCCACCGTCTGGCCCAGATGACTCGCTGCTGCATGAGTCTGAAGCCTTTAGGCTTTTGGTGCTGAAGGTTTTAAATCTGTTTGGAGGGCTTAAGGTGCAAGGCTTTGCCGACAAGACTTCAGCCTTCTGAGGCTTTGGGGCAGTGAGTCGTAATGACAAGCCTATCAGTTTTTGAAATTGATCTAAGCAATCCGGGGTCCACTCATCCTATCAAATATCAAAACCAAATGGATGACAAGATCCTACTCTCTGAGGGCCACGGCGCACCGTATCCCTGAGGGTCGACGGTAAAGGACTTGAGGTTTAGGGCTTAAGGCTAAAGATTTAGGGCTTACAGTCTGCAGTAGGTTGGCCTTGTAAAGCCCCTCACAGCCAAAGCCATGAAGCCTTCACATTCTCTGCAGATGGGGCTTAAATTGGGGACTGTCCGACCCAGCAACAGCCTATAGCAGGGGCCAATATATATTCATATGATAATTCTTGTTCAACTGTTACTGAATTGGGGCAGCATTGCTTTTTGTAAGGTTGATTCGGTCAAGGGTAGGGGCGTGTGACGCCATGCAGGTTTTGCAAGCCAGCTATTCAATGATGGGCATCTTTGTTTTGTGCAAATGCAATGTGCGGATATGCGCACATTAGTACTGCATACACTTCATAAACTTTGGCTGACAAAATCTGGAGTACAACCAGCTTAATGTAAATCCAGAAGCTGCGCAATCATCCGCATGTGACCCAGTTCAACATTGGCCTGTTCTGCGTATACTCATACTTCCCCCGATCCGGCACCCAAACATGCCACAGCGTTGTTTTGTCATCCGAGCTCTTGTGACTCATACAAGCTCCCACCAGTTGTGCAAAGATTCCGGTTGAGCAGCGTTTTTTGTTTGCCCAGGCGGCTTGGGGGGGTTGAGGGTGAGGGCTTCGGCATAATCAACCTCTGCGCAGAGTGCACTTCATCCAGATTTGGGTGCTCAAGGCCACATGAAGGCCAACTTTGCATAACCTTTGCATAAGTTCCGCATAAAAGTGCGCTCTATGCAAAGTTATGCAGAAGTCGGCCACTTTTGCTTAAAATGCCATGCTGAAGAATTTAGGAGGTGTCTGACCTGGGGGGTCGACATGCAGCTGTGGGGAGGGCCCGTAAGTTGGGGCCTTAGAGCGGTCTGGAAGGGCTGCCCTCCTTAAGGGGCGCGGCTGTGGCAAGGGGTTAGGGGACAGCAAGGCATGGTGGGGTGAAGAGGGTTTTGGGGAGTGTGTGGGTTGGGGGGTGCGAACGTACAGCAACCGCCATTCAACTTGCGACTTGTAACTCATGACGTACCCTGTAATGCACACCCGGCCGACCCACAAAAGGGTGTTTAGAGCAGGTGGATGGACCCTGCAATACACAAGTGCAGCCAGCGGCTTACACACGCGGATGCTTGAGCGCCTGTATTTGCAATATTTAAAGGTGCTGTTTGTATTCAAGGTGTCTGTCAAACCTATAGATTTGCAAAGTCTTGCCAAATTGGCCTCCCCATAATCAGAAGGGGGCAATATCCAAAGCTGCAGTATGGTCAGGAGTAGGGTTGCAGGGCCTTCAATTCCAAATCTGAGGATGGCATCTAACGAAGCAATGTATGGTCAGGGTAATCAGGGACTCAAGACTACTGCATGGACTCCAACACCAAACCTGTAGCGAGGTGGCTCCCTCTACATAAATGCGCACATTGAGACATGACTAAGAATTAAAAATCTCAACATATATGTACATATACGTGTTCATCTTGCTTTTACTTTCTTATATGTAGATTAAAGGGCCCACCTGACATAATCTATCCATGAGCCTCAACCCTAAACCATTAAACCCGATCCCTATATTATGCCCAGTAGTTTCCCTTCTCTTTTCCATTACCCCTATAAAAGCCCTTTCTAGTGGTTTCCATGTTCTTTTGCATTATACCCGATATTCATCAATCTGATAGTTTCCATGTTCTTTTCCATTATCCCTTTCGAGCCCCAATATATACCCTACAATCCCTATATGAGAACCCCTATATGAAGCCCTATATGAAGCCCTATACCCCTGAACCCCAACCGTGTACAATCCGGTCGACCCCGGCCTGGGCCACGACAAGCGCTGCAGGAAGCAGCCAGCGATAGGGGTGCTGCAGCGAGGCCTCGCTCGAGCCACCACATGTTGGAGCCAGATCAGGGCTTGTGCATGTTTAGTTGTTTTTTGCTTTTCTTACTATCACTATTGTTGTTCGTATGATTACTATTATTATGTTGTATGGGTCCCTTTCCCATAAGCCTTTTCAACGGAAAGAAGTTTTGGGTGCAGGGTTTTGAGGGTTTAAGGCTTGGGGCACACGGTTCCGGGCTTGGGGGCTTGGGGCTGCTTTGAAAGGGTATGTAACATACCCCAAACTAACATGCAGGCCCAGAAGGGCCATGCAATAACTTTCTGCCCTTCTGAACTGAGCCGATGAGGGCTTCCATTCCATCACAGTGGAGGGTGATTTGGGCACTGGGAGGTCCCACAAGTCTTCATGACGACTCGAAAGCTTTACCAAGTGCTCTATGAGACGTATCAGGTCAACTTGTGCAAGGATTGCATAATGAGTGCTCCGGGGCTACGTAACGGATGCACAGAATGAGGGGTTGCCAAGGAAGGAATGGCTCCATATGCATATGTACACCTTGCTCATGCTTCGCGCTCCTTACAAAGCCTTTGACAACTTCCTCAGCTGACATCACAGGGCTGGTAAGAGAGAAGCACTGCCCCTAAACTTTGGCCTGTAACGCAGACCCCGTTCGGAGAAGAAGTCTGACAATCACGACCACTACATGCCAAACCAACCGTCCACCCTCATACATCTCAATGCTTTGCCATCTGCGCCAAGTTGAACAAACGTCAATCCTAACAAGACAAAGAGCAAATGCCAGCATCAGCTGCGCCGCATAGTAAGGTCTCCTTGGTTGTGCCCAACTCTGCTGGTCAAGTTCAAGTAGACTACATACTTGTTTTTTCACTGGAAAATTTAACTACAAAGATGCTAGTAGCAACCCTGCCAACCATCAGGTCACATTATCAAGGCTGGATGCCAATTGAAGCATTCTCTGGGTCCGGTCTCGCTGGCCTAGGTACTGCTCGCTACTTCAGCCTTCCCTGGCTGAAATGCAACTGTTCCTTCCCGCTTTGATTCATATGGCGGCTTCTCCGAATTCTGAATTCCGTTTCGGAACACAAAGTTGGGAGCATACAGTAGGAGGTTTCGACCACAACCGCCTGCCAGGTGTGCATGGTAATACATACTTAGAAGCAGAAAAGCCTTGATAAACCCCATCAACCCTCCTTAGTAGGTGTACCAGCACCACGCACTGGAGCCCGAACATGCGCCCCAAATGGCCCCAAGTTCGAATCGCAACCTCACTCCACATGAGATATCAGATGCAAAACCTCCTGAGCAAACACTTACATTGCTTGCCTATTGATGCTTTCACTGGTCATCACTACCCAAGAATTCTACTGCGGACATACCAGCAACTTTGCCGAGCTTCTGCAAAAGTGAGTTGCAGTCACATGGAAGCTGAGCCCCAACATGCAGGCAAGCATGAGCCAAACATAAAGCAGCACAGATGGACACGCCAGAGCGACTTGTGAACTCGCACTCTAAACTTTGCCAACCCAGCCAAGGTGTAAGCGCTAAGGGCTACAGCCCATTCACACTAGGAGTTCGGATGGGTCTAGGGCTCAAACAGCAAACAGAAGACATGAGAGCCACCCTTGGGGGTAAGGGTGAGGGTTTCGGAGTTTAAGCTGTGAAGTTTTTCATGTCAGGCTTCGAGCTTAGAGTTAAAGGCCAAGGGCCTGGGATGAGCAATAGCCCATACATAGACCCATCGTGGGAAGGTCCGCCTGGATTTACTGAATGCCTTTTGGGTGCTTGGGGACTCTATTCGGGAGCAGGCCAATGCTTCCCTGACTTGTGACATCAAGCAACTACAAACATGCGCTTGCCACTTGTTGGACCACACGGGATGCAGGGAGATGCTGTTGGGGACCTTGGTGACTCAGCTTCACGGAGCTTGACCTACTAGAAGCATTTCCCCAGCAATGCTGATGGCTCTTCCGTTGATGCTACCAAGAATGGGCAGCAAGTTCTACGAGTTGCTCCTCGGCTGCTCCTCGGCAGTCACATACCTACACCCTCAACCCTTCACGCTGGGCTAAGCGTAAGCTCAGGCCCCTCATTCCGACACCCTACACACAGAATCCCAAATCATCCGAAGGGTTTGGAGGTGGCCTAGAATTTCGGGTTGTTTGGAATCCTAAATCATGAGAAAGGATATACAAATACAGCGTTTGAGGTTCAGGCTTGAATGCTACTTGGTCCGACTGATCTCATGGCATTTAGCGGTCCTCGTCGACACCTTCCTCTTCCTCCTCATCCGGCATAGTGTAGGAGTCTTCCTCACAGTCTGGATACACGATTGCAACTTGAATCTGCCTCAATGAAAACCTGATTTGGGCAATACAGCCTCCTGCACCTCTGGCCCAGACCCCTCAAGGACTACACTGCTCCCTTCCATGGCACTAGGTATCGCGTCTACTCGTCATAACGCGGAAAAATGTGAGAACTCGCTTCAGCATGTAGTATCAACGCTTGCTAAAAAGCAGGCCGCATACGCGAGGTTGGCAATCTATGGGTATTGTCCGTACTACTGCTCTGAATATTAATATATCGTTATTTTTTTCATACTGCACTTTTATTGTTGCCGCTGTTCCTAGTTATTACCATCATCGTTCCCAGTATTACTTCTACTGCTATTACAGTCGTAACCCTAAACGCTAAATCACGTTACAATCACTAGTGTTACCAGTATTACTATTATTGCTATACTATATGATTACACTATTGTCATTAGTCATGACCATCACTACTGTTACAAGCATGACTGTTACTACTCAGGGTAACTTAGAATACTTTCAAGTCCCAATTTAAGGCCATTTTAGTGCTACTCCCTATATAAACCACCATTTAGGGTGGGGTTGGGTGAGGTCGCTTTAAATTGCCCAGTTACTACTTTTTGTAGATACTACCTTGGTTGAGAGTGTTGCCGGTGCAACCCGGGAGCTGGATGAGAGAGGGTCAGGGTGTACCTAGGGCTTGCGAAATCAACCTAAACCCTAAACCCAAATAGTAGTTTCCATTTTCTTTTGCGTCATCCCAATAGAACCCCTATAAAACCCCCATATAACCCTAAACCCTAAAACTGAAGTCTAAACCATTTTGGGGGAGAGGCTGCTGCGCCTGCTCTGGGAGTTCAGCTCCTTGGTGTGCCTACTGCCCTGGTGCTGGCAAACAGGATCATGCAGGACCCTAGACCCCAAAACCGCAAACCCTCAACCCTAAGCAAGATCCATTCACTACACTGAGGGTCAGGGGGACTTAGTCAGTACCCCTGCTGGCCCTATAATACGTAGCTAAGGTCTGCGCATTTCGGCGAATGATCTCGGCATAGCCAACTTGCTCCTCCTTCACGTGAATCTTGCTGAAAAGACATCCCCAAAGTTCAGTCATCGGAGTCCTCCCTCCTAAGTCCTGCCAAGGGCAGCCATGATCATAAACCAAACCCCCAACTCGCAGCTAACAGGCCAGAAGATAACTACCCTGACCAACTTTACAGGCACCTACAGAACTATGACGTATATCAAAGTGGGGCAAAAGCGTGTATACATATAGATATATATATATGTAGGATATATGTCCACTGAGAAGGCAGTATAGGCCCCCATCACAAAGGACCGTCTTGCGCACCTGCTTAGCTTCAAGAATGGGGCCCTGGCCCTAGTGATCCCCTCCACCTAACAATGAACTGCCCACCCTATTATTTGCCTCTGCGCAACCCCTAACGACACACATCCAACATGATATCATTACATGCTGGAAGCTGAAAAATCATCATCAGGAGGGTAGGGTGTTTTTTAATAAAGGGTGGGTTAGCGGGGCATGCCTACGCGCAAAACGCATACACTGCTTGCTGCCATGCATTTTGGGGTCAGCGTGTGGGATCCTTCCTAAGATACCTCAAAAACAGCTTCTACAGTGAAAGACCAGATGTCAGGCGCAGGGCAGCCACCCAAAAGGTGGCTATTATCAACATTGGAGCCCCGTGGATACATGTAAAAAACTACGATCCTCACAGCGAATCCATTGAGAAGGGGCCGACAGTTTGAAAGACGCCCAGGCATGGGAAGAGCATGGAGATCTTCATAAAAGGCCCAGATGATTCCGGGTGCAAAATGCAGGTCTTCCCTCACACGCTCACAGACCCCAAGAAACCGGAAAAACTTCGGTGTCCCTAAACCCCAAGGGCCTGAACTCCCAAATCACTTGCCTCTTCCACTTCTTCGGCTGCGGCCTCTATCTTTGGAGCCACAGGGCTCCCCATCGCCTGCAAAGCTTAGGATATGAAGGGATCGCATGACAAATCGTCGGACATATGGGATATTGGCTCCCTGAAACAACAACTGTTGCACAATAGAGGTCTTATTCCATCGCAGGGCTTAGAGAAACAGCCCTTTACCTGAAAGTCTTGAGTTCCAGCTATGAGGGCTAACTGCAGCGGCTGAGATGTGGCTTCCTCTCGACACAAGCTTAGGTTGCAAATGTCCCAAGATGCCAGCATTCTTCTTGCCACCGAAGATACAGAAGACCCTTTAACTCCTCCTTCAACATTACTTATTCCATACTAGTACTCCCTTTCAGGCCCAGAGTACGAATACGCCTCCACCCCAATTCAAACTCTGATTTATCATCCGCGTACCAATACTACAACAAAAAAAATCCTTCTCCCACACTGCCACTGCCACCACCACTGCTGCTACCACTCCTACAGCAACTACGACTACCCGATGGACCACCACCACCACCACCACCACCGACGACGACGACGACTACTACTACTACTACTACCACCACCACCACCACCACCACCACGACTACTACTACTACTACTACTACTACTACTACACCCTGCCTCACGTAGATTGTGGAAGCATCAACCTGTTTGGGAGCATCTGCCCAGCCTCTTCGTCCACTTCTGGCATCTCCTCGTGAGCTCCCTGCCAGCAATGAAAGGGGGCTTGGAAAAGGCTCGGGAGTGGTTTTTCCTCAATGGCGCCCCTCCTCGACCTCCAGAGAGTCTAGAGCTGAGTGCTTGGAAAAAAGAGGCTGGAGCTTTGGGTCTCAGGCTGAGCGCAGCACTCGCAAAGTGAAAGCCATCCCTTCCAACTAGATGCCCCCCAACGCCACTTTACCAATTGAACATGGTTCGGCTTGTGACATGTGTTCATTGATGTTCAACTCAACTAGCTTCATGAGTGATGCGGCTCAGATTCAAGGCAATCTGGAATGTAAAGCCCTGAGATGCCCCGAGCCATTCTAAACCCTTGAACCCTAAAGCCTGAACCATTTAAAACAAGTGTTCAAAAGCTGAACCACAATCCCTTACCTAAAAACTTACACACCGGAACCCTAGACACTGGATGGCAGGGTAGTTCCTATGTTCACGTGCATTCCTAAATTTCGTATATGCTTCTCTATATACGTGTCCTTCATTGCCAAAGCCCTTGTATGGATCCTTACAAACAAGCCTGTATGTCTTCCCTTCCCCCTAAACCCTCAACCTGTAGTAGTTTCCATTTTCTTGTGCTTTCCTTTCTTCCTTACTACAACCAGCAAGTCAAAGAAAAACCTCATATGAGCTATAGTCTAAACTCCCGGTATCTCCCTTAATAATCCTTGATACCCCTATAACGCTCCCCTATATAATCCCCTACATAACCACCTTTAAGGACTTTCGACTACAGCTCAGATATGTCTTTTCTATTTGCTTGTCAATCTGACTTGCATTCCCTACCACGAGAAAGGAGCCCCATCCCTAAATGCCACAGCAGTTGCCATGCTCTTTTTCACATATCCCGACCTAAGCCTGTGTGTGTACATATAAGCCATATAAGCCCATATGTCCCTTCATAACGTCATGTGCCATTGTTAAAGCTCTGGAATACAGATCTATATCCTTATACAGCCCAACATATCCCTACATAGCCCCACATGTTCCTCAGCCCTAAACCCTACGTAAACCCTAAACCCCAAACCCTAAACCCTGTTACATGCCCCTACATGCCGCAATGTCACTCTATTCCCCAATATTACCCCTATATAACCCCAGTTTCCATTTCATTTTCCATTTTCTTTGCCATTTGATTCTCCATTATTGGGGTAATACCCGTGTATACCCCTGTAAGGGAACCTAGGGTTTCCATTTCATTTTCCATTTTCTTTTCCATTTGATTCTCCATTATTGGGGGGGAATATCCTGAAACCCTAAACCCTAAATAGTAGTTTCCATTTTCTTTTCCATTATCCCTATATCCCTATTTCCCCCTCTATTCCCTGAGGAGTGCCGCCTTGCTCTCCTCTCCGGCGCTGCCTTCCGCAGAGCGCTTTAGCCCGAGGTGCGTGCAACTAGCTAGGCGGGGGTTTCCCAAAATAGGGGTGCCTTTTTGAAGGGTCCCCATAATGAGGATGACAGTTTTTCGGGGTCAACATTGGGGTTCCCTTCTTTTGGGAAACTACCCTAGAAGCCCTACATAACCCCAGTTTCCATTTCATTTTTCCGTTATCTTTGCCATTTGATTCCCCATTATTGGGGTAATATAAGCCTAAAGCATTCTCCCGGAACCCTTTTTGAATTCATGACTGCCAGGCAGAAGCTCCCAGCAAGACCACTACCTAAACTTTAAACCCTATGGTGCCCCTTAAGTAGATAGAATACAGGGTATAGGGTTTAGGGTATAGGATTTAGGATTTAGGGTTTAGGGTTTAGGTGTAGGGTTTAGGGCTTAGGGTTTAGCATGCCGTTTCTTTGTGGCCTCAGAAAAAATGGTGCTTCACCATCATTATTATATATAAGCAGGCCTGTTAAGAAACGGGAGCGTTATATATGCTAGTACATTTATATCACATATTACATAATTGCACCTTGGGCTTTTCTCCGCCTAGGTTTGCAATGGGGTCACTCAGGCGGTGTACGAAGTGGAGTGTTTTGGGGTCCATGGCTTTGACCCTTTGAAGGGCTTAGGGCTCAGAACCATGAGAAGGGCTTAATGGATAGGGGTGGGAGGGGATCTGGAGGAGGAGAGGGGTCAATTCAGATTAACCGTTTTGCCCTGATTCAAGTGGATTCCTCCCAAGCCCTCGGTTTCAGGGTGGGGCTGAAAGGTGCTAGCATGGAACATGCAGGTGTCAGGCCTATTCCCCAAATCGAGGTCAAATGTAGCTGCTTTAAACAACGCCGTTTGCACAACAACAGGTAAGCAGTCAGCGGCGTCTGCGGCGAGCCACACCATAATCATTCCTGTCTTTCCCCAACAAAGCAGCAGCCCTCAGCAAACCCTATAAGCGTGAGTCTCTGCGTGCTGACTACCGAACTCTCAAACTCATCACTTTCTTACAGGCATTCCTGTTCAAATTGCCATGTTCACCCTTGAACCCCCCTGTTCAACAAATTCAGAACAGAATGGGTAACCACGGAGCTGCGCATAAACTGACAGGGTCTCTAAAGAATTCACATGACCCGACCCCCCACACGTCACCCAATCAAACTAAACATAAGAGCTATAGACTAAACTACTTAAAGAGGGTTATGTAAGAGATAATATAAGGGACTATTGGGTTATTAAGGGATAATATAAGGGACTAATATAGAGATTATTATCAAGGGGCGACTAGGAGTTTAGATTACAGCTCATAAAACAGGAGAGCGGCACCACCCCAAATGGCTTTTAGGGGAGGAGGTGGTCGCAGAAAAATGGGGTGCAAGTTGGTATAATGGAAGATGGGCACCCCTTTCACAGCTCTTTCTGTACTTGGAAATACTGTATGTACCCCGCATAGTGCTGAAAAAACAGCTCTTTGACAAAGGGTGCTAAACTACCCCCATTCCGTGGAGGCAACCTAGCAACTTAAAACCCTAAACGCTCATTTTGAAACCCTCTTGTAGCTTCCATTCTCTTTTGCATTCCCCCTTAAACCCTAAACCCTGAAACCCTTAACCCTGAAAACCAAAAACCCTTAACCCTGAGAGCCTAAAACCCCAAAACCCCAAACCGCCTTCCGCTTCGAAGGGTTCCTCGTCTGGCGGCCCGGTGTCACTTTGGCTGCCTTACTCAGGGTTTAGGCGTGATATAGGGGATGTAAGGATATTACCCCCCCCCCGTAATGGAGAATGAAATGGAAAAGAAAATGGAAGATGAAATGGAAACAGGGGTTGAGGGTTTGGGTTTTAAGTCACCATAATGGGTATAATATAGTGTTGTATAAGGATAACGGAAAATAACCTGAAAACTACTATGTAGGTTCTAGGGTTGCTGCTGAGGAACGTGAATAAACTTACCATACTGGGTATATATAGTGATGAATAGACCCTAAACCATAAACCCTAAACCCCCCCAATACAGGACCATAAATAAAAATTCCTTAACAGCAACCCAGTGCTCGGAGGGTCATGGAGACTTAGCAGGGGCGCAGGTTTAGGGTTTAAGGTTCAGGGTTTAGGGTTTAGATGGGTTTAGGTTTTAGGGCTCAAGGTTTAAGGTTTAGGGTTTTAGAGTTGAGGTTTTAGGCTTCGGGGTTTGCCGCTTGCATGGCCAATACAGCATCGCAAGGTTCAATACTGGGAGTCCACTACACAAGACCGGACTGGGAAAAGCGTTCTGTGATGGTCCGGAAGCATTAGCACGTTCTGGCACAGTCCGTTCACTGCAGCTGGAAAACCCCGACGACTAAATCAAACCCAGGAGACTACCCCAAACAGCGATTGAGCAGAGCTACAGTAAATGAACAGTGAAGCTACATCGTCTCGCCCAATGACTATGCAACTGACGCAAGAAAGTTGTGTACAAATTGTGCAGTCAGCCCGTACGGGCACCGCTCTCGCCAGCGGGGTTTAGGGTTTAGGGTTCGGGGGTAAGGTTTTAAGGTTTAGGGTTCAAGGTTCTTGGAGGGTCATTAGAACTTAGTAACTGGAATAATACATGGGATAAATGGGTATAAGCATACTTACTAGGTCACCCTGATCCCCCAAGTAAGGTTAGGGTTCAAGGCTAAGGATTTTAAGATCAGGGTTGGGTCCCTTGAAAGGGCTCGTCCTCCTTGCCACCCCCACTCAGCACCACCCCGACCATCAAAAATTGCTCGGATTGCTCGGGTGGTTTGTCCTTTGTTGTTGAGGGGTTGGCAAAGACAGTCAGCTGTCACTTCACTTGATTGCTCCCTAGCACTCCTCTAGCCTGTCCAAGGGGAACCTGGGTTTTGTAGGCCTGGGAATTCCTGGTTTTTGTTGGCTGGATTTACCATTACGGCAAAAAACCGCTGGCTTGCAAAGCCATGACTTTTCACAAGTTGCCTCAATCCCGAACCCCTGAACCTGGGTTGGCCCCTAAAACCCTTTGAAAGATATTCGTAGTATAAAGGGTCCCTATCAAAGCCATTAGGGAAAATATCAAAAATCCCAGGGGCCTATAGTCCCCTTAAGTAGAGAGAAGACTGCTTTGGGTATATCATGATAAGATCCCCACATACCCCTAAACCCTAAACCCTAATACCCCATATTCTACCTACTTAAGGGGGCTATACCCAGGAACATCTCTACACGCTCAACGGAGCGCCAGGCCTGGCGACTGATCTTCAGCCTGGCTGCCGGGCATCAGCCCCTCTTAAATAGATATAAGATGGGGTATAAGGTTAAGGGTTTAGAGGTATGTGGGGAGCTTATCATGAGAGCGTCAGGGCACACTCAGGATGAGCTCAGGAAGGCAGAAGGGATCCTCCCCCCTGTGGATTTGAATCAAGGGTACTGTATGGGGATCAAACAAATGCCCATGTCATTTTGAGGTCGATTACTAATTACACAAGGAATATGGGACCGTAACATTGGCATAATTCTGGCTTCTACGCCTGGTGTGGTCGTCAGAATAAGCCTGCAAGCACATAGGAAGCAGCTCTGCTCCAATTGGAATAGAAACCCAAGCACAACGCCCTAATGAATATGGTAGTTTCCCAAAATTCCGGGTACATTTTGGGTGGTTCCTATAATAAGGATTATAATATATTCGGGTCTATATTGGAGCACCCCTGTTGTGGGAAATTACCATATAGACAGTAAGTGAAGTTGGGGCATGTCTGAGCAAGCCCAACATTCAGCACCATGGCTGTGAAACTGTCTGCGGGCACCTGAAACATTTCGCCGAAAAATTCCTGCGAGACTAGGACACACCAAACCACTTGCAAATCGCCCAAAAATTCGGCCCTCACATGTCATGATTCTGGGGCACACGGACAATGCCTGCAGGCCAGGACCACACTGATCCGAGATATCCTCAAAATCTTCGGAAGGCACCTGAAGATGATTGTTGCCGAATTTGTTTTTAGTTTTAAAGATTGCTCCCTGCAACCAGGGATGTGCCATGATTGCTGCATACACAGGGGGGCCCCAACTCCAGATTTGGAATTACCCTTGCCTTTGCCAGTCGCCATAAGGGTTCATAAGAACCAAAAAATTGATATGCTTCAACATCCCTGTTTCGGAGCAGCGGTTGTAGAGGTAGCGTGCGGGCTTTGCATATATCAGCACGTTCTATATGAAACCGACAGAGAGCTAAGATGGGACACATGGAAGTCTCGCACATTCCGGGCCTCTTTCTTCGGAAGGGTCTAGAGTTATATTGGTACTACATAGGGCTTATATAGGGTTATATAGGGATAATGGAAAAGAAAATGGAAGCTGCTATTTAGGGTGATAGGGCTCATATAAGGTTATATGGGGTTAGTACAAAAGAAAATGGAAACTACCATTTAGGGTTTGGTTTAGGGTACTGTGCAACACAACATGGCCACAAATGCAGGTGCAAAATGAAATTGGCCGCCAGTAAAAGCTACAGAAATCTTAACCACGAATTCCCCACCTGTGCTCCACCCAGCACAATATCAAAGGCTCAACACCCACCGTCTTCTAAATTCAAGAACCTCTACACGATTCTTTGCTACACCAAGCTTCACAGCCGCTGCCCGGTTTGCTGCCACTTCCATTGTCGATCACCATAACAACTGCTCGTAAGGCAAACGCTTAACTTCGTTCCCACATCCTGCTGTGATAGTCCACAAACCAAGCACCGGCTGAAGCCGTAGGAAAGCATGTGCAGGATCATTAGTGCAATGAGACTTTATTTGAAACTATTCTCTCGCGTGCTGGCATTCAAGAAGACTTTTCAATCATGTGAAACCCTGAAAAGCTAGCAAATGTTTATGTTCCTAACTTCCCCTCGTAATGACCCTACGGGTGACGTCAAACAGACCCCCATTGTCAAACCTGTGAACCCTATACCTATGAACCCCCTATATAAACCCAGTCACAGTTTCATGTTCCATGCTCTTTTCCATTTGATCCTTCATTATGTTTAAAATGTCCTTGAACCCTACATGCTCTCCTTTTTCTGGGGGTTGCCCAAAATTAGGGGTTCCATTTTGGGTGTCTTTATAAAAAGGTTTATAATATTTTGGGGTCTGTATTGGGGTCCCCCTGACCCCTATAGCTAAGGTTATCCTAGGCTGCTTCCCGATCTCCCTGAGGCTACAGGCCAGAGGCTTCTGCAACTGGAGCGCGCCAGGAATACCCACCTCACGGATTGCGGTTTAGGGTTAGACTAGGGTTACGTTGGGGATACTATTTAGGGTTTAAGGTTCAAGGTTGTGAGAGACGTGCTTCCCAGGTAGGTCTCATGCGGAACACTAGCGTTCTGTGTAGTATAAGGGACTATTGGATACTACTTGATTATGACTTGAGCTTCGCCCTACCTAGTATACTCCAGAACCCTGCCAACCTCTTCTACATGGATTTCTTAAAGTGCTTTTTGGGAAGCCTTTTCTACGCCTTCAAGATGGATCCCCAAGAAGATGTTTTTGGGAGAGGCCCTCAAGCATGAGACTTCATCAAGTGGCGTTTTGCCAGACAAGAGCCCCCTCTTTGACGACTTTGCAAAAGACTTGAACCATGGTTGTGAGATGTTGTGCGGACACTACCAAGAATCAGAATTATAATGTAGCACACTTTGTCAAGGGGAGTTGGAGCTCTCCCTTCGAACAAGATTTACTGATCAGCACCTCTGGGTTAGCTAACTCCAAGGGTCCAAGTACCCAGAGATTAGGGCATTAGGTACCTAAAGCCATGAAGGCCAAAAAACAAATTGGACCTTTTAGCTAAAACTACATGAGCCCTGGATTACATTTGTAGTATATCCCTGAATAGGTCCCCCCAAAACCCTATAAGGTCCCCCCCAACCTAAATTTTCCGTAGCTCACATGGCCTGATGTCTTAGGCTTGGGTCCGTGGCTCTGGCGCATGAGTGTTTTAGATGTCCAGGTGTCAGGGTTAGGGTGGGTTAGGTTTAGGGTTTAGTGCTTAGGGTAGATGAGGAATGCAGAGCGAACTGATTGGTGAGCATTGCGTTTTGCGCTTCGGGCACTCCAGGTGGCAAGCGTTCATCCCCTCATACCACTCTTGAACACTTCTTCACCCCTATAAGACCTCTTATGGGGAATATCTTTAATATTAGGAGGCGGGGGGCCTGATATTAGTATGAAAGGATTATGTCTGAAAAGTATCGGCCGAGAATCTGAGCTTGTGTGTTCATAAGAGACTGCTTGGAGGGTCAAGGAATGCGTATAACCTCTATAAGCCATTTAATAACCCCTGTTATCCCCATCGTTAACCCATGTACTAAGTCCCCATGACCCTCCAAGTGCAGTTCCGGGTTGGCAAAGAGGGAACCTCCACCCCTCAAGGCCTAACGAGGGTTCGTCAAGCCCGCCAAAATGACTCGTGATCCTGGTCCAAGCCTCTATTTTTGCGGACAACTTCAAATATGTGAACAAGAATCGCCCTTCGGGTTTAAAATTCTTTTAGAATGCTTGAACAACAGAAACCCCAACCAACTCTTAAAAACGATCCTTCGTGCATTTTTCAAAAATCCTCGCAAATACAAAGTCCCAGCTTTGAGAACCTGGAACCAAACCCTACATGTTGCCGTGTAGCAGTGGGAACTCCAAGCACCGCCTTTGAGAAAACCCTGAACCCTAAATCTGAACTGTAGAATCTAAACTCTGAATCCAAACTCTAAACCTATCTCAAACCCATGTTTGGAATCCTGAATTTACCCTAAACAGTAAATCCAAAACCTAAACTTAACCATAACCCTAAATCCAAACCCGAAACTTACCCTTAACCTGAAATCAAAAACCTCAATTAATTCTAAACCAAAGATCCAAATCCATAACCTTAAATCCAAACCTTACACTCACCCATAACCCTAAATCCACGCCCTAAACCTACCCTTGACCTTACATCCAAAGCCCAAACTTAACCTTAACCCTAGATCCAAACCCAAAACCTTACACACTCTCTCTCTCTCTCTCCCTTTGTATCCCTACATATCCCTATACATCCCTTTACGCTCCTACATATCCCTATATATGCATATTTTTATGATATGTCCCCATACATCCCTAGGCATCACCCCTGAACCCTGGAGCCCCATCTGAGCCTGCACAGGCTCCAGGGGCTGAGGGGGCTGACGCGGGCAAGGTGCCTCTGGGACCTGAGTGAGCCCCAGGATGAAAGACTTCGGGTTTAGTGTTTAAGGTTTAGGGTTTAAAGTTTTTTTTTAACACCAGAGGACTTTTACGTCTGCCCGGAGGAGACTGGCTGCAATCAAAACACCTTCACACAACACACAGCTTGTGCCAGCCTTGCACCGACACAACAAGACCAACTCAGCCCAACTCCCTCATTCTGTCTGAGTACTGCTCTCCTTGCCCATGGGGTGTCGGAGCACAAACACAGCATTGCTGCCCTGATTTTCAGAGGCAGGAAATGACAGAAACTGACCAACCCATTGGGGCGACTATACTAACGTGAACTTCACCCGAGCTCGTTGCAACACTCACGGTATCTCCCCCCAGGCCGTTCCCATCATCGTTCATTTCCCCATCGTTCTTGAGTCGCTTTGCCACAAGACCATCCACGCCATGTGCAGGGGAACCAGACGATGTAGCCATTCCACTCGCACCATCCACCTTGTTCAAGGCTTCCTGCATGGCCATCTCATCCTCCGCCCTGGCTCGCCTCGCTGCGTCCAATAGTTTCTTCTCATTGGCCAACTCCCGGATTAAACCATGACGCTTGTGCTCGATAGGCGTCCTTGTCTTTCTCTCTGATGGCTGCCTGCAAAGTGCTTCTGCCAATAAATTTGAGAATCTCGTCAATAAGAATGACGGGGAATGAGAAAGCCAACACCAGCAACCAATCGTGCAGCGTCAAAGGCACGAAGCCCAAAATGGTGGCAAGCCCAGGAACATAAAGGATGACGAAGTGGCAACTAGTGGAAATGCTGGCAGACACGATGAGGTAGGGATTGGCCCAGGGCGGCATCTGCACCAGTGATCCGTCTTTGTCTGTCTGAACACTTTCAAGGGCCGCCTCGCAGAAGACGCTGGAGCAGCTCATCTGACAGGAACACATCCCGCTCCACCACCATGGTAGGCGCGCGCTCCGCTCGGCGGAGGCCAACCAAAGGGGCAGCGGTGGTCAGCCGTCTCTGATTGCCGCCAGCAGACTGTCTCTACTGACGGGCCCAGGCCAATCCCAGGCCCAAGCTCCCTGTGAAGGCGATCAATCTGATACGGCTGCCGACGCATGGCATCGGCAAATCACCGCTGCAGAGTGATCCAAAACTGGTCACTCGACAGGCTGTCCGCGCCGGGGCTGAGCACGGTGGACACGTCAAAAAGCGCGCCGTACGTCTGCGCACCAGCTCCGCAATCGCGCCAAGATCTGATGAAGCCTCAGCTGTTCTGGCTTGAAACCGTCGAGCTTGCAGCCTGGGACGGCATCACATCAACACCCTGCGCAGGGTCCTGCCGGTTGCTGGCAAAGGGTGCGGAAATCTGTGACGCCGGCTTTGGCAGGCCCTGGGATGGCATCACATCAACGCCCTGCGCAGGGTCCTGTCCATTGCTCGTAAACGGAGCAAACATCCTCGATCACTGCGGCGCAGCCTTAAAGATCATGGAGGGCATCATGCAGTGAGAGCGGTTCGCCTCGCATATGTACAGCACTGGCAAAGAGCTTGATCCAAATTCTTGGCTCTGAGGTTTTAAAGTTTAGAGTTTAGGGTTTCGGGTTTAAAGCTTAGGGTTTAAAGCTGAGAGTTTAAGGTTTGAGGTTTAGAGTTTAGGGTTCAGGATTAGGGTCCGGGGGTAAGTAGGGGGCTAGGGTTTGGGGTATAATGCTTTGAGGTGTAAGGGCTTAGGTTTCGGGATATGGGTTATGGGTTCAGTGTTTATTCTCTTGGGGCCTCCCATCATAATGATGAACCTGATAATTACAACTTAAGGAGTCAGCATGTTACAGGGACGGGTAAGGTTCGTCAAAAGGGGGTCGAGGGGCGACTAGTGGGTTAGGTGCGGAGGGCTGACGGTCAAGTAAGGACAGGTCATGGGCTAAATTCCTGAAGACCTCGCTGTTTTGCAAAAAAATCTGGGTTGCTGTTAAGGAACTTAATTTAAGTTACCATAATGGGTATATATAGTAAACAATAGGGTTTCCCCAATGTAGTAACTTAATCTAAGTTCCTTAACAGCAACCCAGAAATCTCATGTGGTCATCCAAATGCTTCGCGAGCAGGTGTCTGGTAGAGATATCCTTGGCACACACCGCATTTGGAGCTTCAGCGTGCTGGGTTACATAATGGAACTGGCTCAGGGAGGCTCTTAACACGCGCCTAGCGCCAGCTTAACCACGTTTTAGGTTTTGGGGTGACCTGCGACGCCGCCCGAGTCCTTGCATGGAAGCTTCTAAAGCCTGCGTAGGAGATCTGGCTAGTAGACGTTGAACCCAACTCATAAAAAAACGAGGGGATGCCAGTTATCTTTAAGTTTTCACATGGAAACAGTATGGTAGCGAGTGAAGATTGGCCACCACATGTTCTGGATCCCAGGCCCTGAACCGCGGGCCTCGACCATAAACTAGGAACCTTAGGAGGACCCCCTACCCTGTACTTAATAGTAGTATAACAAGAATACAATAGGACCCTAATATGATCCTTATTAGCCCTTATAGTCAGGGTCCTCCTAACAAGAACCTTGTGCCGAAACGCCATGCCTAAGGGAAAGCTCCAAAACATCAAGCAAATCAGCTGCCAACCTCTCTGTGCGGCTCAGCGCAAGGGCTTGCATCCGCCATGCTAGTCCCAGCGCCTGCTTCTGAATCGGATTGCTCGCCCCCGCAAAACTTACCAAAAAAGTCGATCCTCATCCAAACCGCTATGGCGCCCCTGAAAGGGGGCCAAAACAAGACTTGCGCAGCCCTTCCAAAAAAGAACTCCCTCAGATTTGAGGGAGGGTAGTTGACTAACATCAGGGCCGACATCAACTTTGCAGATGGGCACTCTGAAGACCCCTTCCCGAAATCTTATATGGCAGCCCAGCACAAGCACGATGTGAAAGATTAAGACAATTGTTGTCCTTTCTCTGGGCAACTGCTACCATGTGGACCGTAACACTTAAGCTAACTCAACCCGAAACAAATTCCCCAAACTGGCATGGAACCTCATCGAATCCCACGACAATGCTGACAGCGACGGACAAGAGCACAAAAACATGCCCGAAAAAAAGAAAGCGGACGCAACCGAAAATATTTTTAGCACGTGCTAAGAAGACAGTTGAAACCCAGAATATGCGGAATGGAATAGCACACCGAAAACTAAAAAGGCCAATGGCTCAAACCCTTGCATGTAAACCTAAACCTGAACCATTGAACCCTGAATGAATCCCAAATCACAAACACACAAAAGCCTTTTGAACTATCAACACCCCTCTCTTAACCCTTTAAACACAAACCCAAACCCATAAACACTAAGCAGCGTGCAGCGACTATACTCCTGTATTTCTCAGCTCCATACTAGGCCTTTTTTGATTTTGTTTTTCTCTCTCTATTTAGAAAAATATTGTAATTTCCATGTTTGGTTCCTTTCTCACATTCCCTCCTGACCATGCCAAATCCTTAATCATTACTGCCATGCTAGCCTCCATTCCTCCCTCCCCAAACAAGGAAGTAAACAAAATCCCAAAAACCTTGCACCATCTGGCAGCTTTGGTTCTCCTTTACCTCCCACTACTGATGACCACCCGAAAGCCCGATCCCTGCTCTCTAAGCTCCTAAACCAGAAGCACTAAGTGATGTGGCGCCTTGCACGCTCTTTAGCCTTCCCCGCTTGTCCTGGTAATCCACTTTGGAACCCAAAAATCTGTAGTTCACGTGTTCTTTGCCGTTCCCCCACTCAGTACTAGCGGCCCAAAACGCTGAATCCTCCAAATCCTATACCACGAATACTACGCCAGCCTCTGTTCCCTAAATCCTGAACCCGAAACCCCAAACCTTGGGTACTGCCCCCCCTCAGTAACAGCTGGATAATACTGAAAAAATGGTTATATATAGCCCTTAATAGGACCCCTAATGTAGACTGTTCTTGGGGGGGGGGCAGTACCCAACCTAAACCCTAAACCCAAAAAAACCTAAACCCTAAATGCCCATAACCGCTGCCCAGCTCCTGTCGCGGCAGGCGCCGAGCTCGGCCGCAGCGGCAGCCGACCCAGGGGAAGCTGCACTTCGCCCTTTGGGGTGTGTAGGGTTTAGGGTGTACATACAGTTTAAGGTTTCGGGTTTAAGGTTTAGGGTTTAAGGTTTAGGGTTCAAGGTTTAGGGCTTAGGGGAGATCACGGCATCAGGTCAACAAAATGTTAGACGCGCTGTATGTAGGGCCTTGTCGGAGCATGAAGAAATCATGTAGTAATTGGGTTTAGGGCCCCAGGCTCAGGGTTTAAGGTTCTCCGTAGCCTTCAAGATTGTTTCTCAAGGCTGTCGGGTTAAGATTTAGGGGATGTGAGCTCAGAGTTCGAGCAGTAGGAATGCAAAGTTACCCTTGCAGAGTGACTTGCATCTGGCGTCGTTGCTGCTGCTGGGCAGGGGCTTTCTGCGTGTGGGGTTTGGGGCTTTTTCAACTCAGGGAATTTTGGAAGTGCGCGTTACGGATTCCGAGTGATTCTGCGGGCTTGACATTACAGGCTTTACAGGCTTTGTGTTCAAGTGGTCTCCGTTTTTCCCATTCCCCCCACATACCCCCACCTAACCCCTTTGTACCCCTATAACCCCTTTATGCCCTATAACCCCTAACCCCTAAACCTTCAACCCGAACCCCTAAACCCTAACCCGAACCCCTAAACCCTAAGGGCACCCACATAGAAAAAGAAGGCTTTCAGCAGGTCGCCTCGAGCTCCCCATCTCCGAAGAGCCAACTGCCGTCCTGGCCACATATTGGATTCTATGGGGCTTATGTAAGGTTATGGGGGTTACGTAGCGTTATATGGGGTTATATAGGGTTACATAGGGCTACCGAAATGTTATATAGGGTTATGCAGGGCTATATATGCGCCAGCATCCACCACCACCCCCTCCAATAAAATCCCCCCCCGTGGGCCTGTGGTGGTCTAAATTAAGGTTTAGAGAAGGTTTATTGTATTTGTAGAGGGTTCGTACCCG